ATGGTTAAAAAACAGAGATCAATATGCCACAAGTGTATGTGTGTGTGTGTTCTAAACAGACCATGTATGTGTGTGTATATATATATGTATATATATATATATACATATATATACACATATATACATATATATACATATATACATACATATATACATATATATACACATACATACATATATATACACACACATACGTGGTCTGTTTATATATATATATATATACATACATATATATGTATATTTCATTATAAAGTGAAGATTATGGCCATACACTTGAAGAAAGTAGTTTTGGTCACTGTAGTTTAACTACCTTAATTGCAGAGTCCACTGAATGACTGATTTGACCATGGTAGTCAGATTTAGTCATAATCAAAGCCAAATTGAATGAACAGCCAGCACCCAGTTCTCTTAACTGCCATATTAAAGGCGTAAATAAGCAAAAATCAATAAAATAGAATGGCAAAGAAAGAATGACAGAACCAAAAGTTCTTAGGCAAGTTTCCAAGTTGAAAAATATAATTTCCTTGAGTGATCAGAGAAGTTGATTGTGCAGACTGCTACAATTGTGATTTGCCATGTGGCAACTCTTCCTTAACACAGAATCTTTCTTTTAGAATGCTGTGAGGTTAATTGACAAAGGCAGCTATCGAGAAATCTGGGAGAATGACTGGCTAAAGAAAGAGGTAAGTGAAATTGCTAGAAAATAATTTTTTCTTTCTCATTTTTTTGAGCTAAACATGACTTTTGTTTATGAGTCAAAATCATTGAAAAAGCAGGGAACTGTGACTCACTGAGGTGAGGTCAAATGAAATTCAAATGGAGTCCCTAGTCTTATTAATCTTATTAAGGTAGTTATTCAACAAATGCCACAAATAATTTCAACAGTAATAAGAAATCATGTTTGGTGTTACACTTCACAGAGCATGTTTAAATGTTCAAAATGTCTTTGCTTTATCTTCTAAATTTTATCTCGCTTTCCCTACTCCCTTGGGTGATAGGAGCAAGACACAAAACTCAATTTAACCTTATTCTCTGCTGTTTTGAGGTCACATGGTCTCCATTGGATAAATATTCTGTCTTTTTTATTTACTCTTCCTACCCCTGCTCATCTCCAAAGATCCAAAATGGACCTTTGATGCACTGCAAGGTGGAGCTTACATGCCTTCTTATGGAGCATATTACTAAATAAGGCTCAGAGGTTTCCTTTGGATCATTCCCCCTCTACCTTTCCGTCATGGAGGGAGGACTCCAATCTATACCTGGGCTGGGAGAGTCTCTGAAATGGCCTACTCTGGCCTTTTGGACATTTTTTTTTTGTAGCCAAACTTTGGTTTAGTCATTTATCAAACCTTTGGTTACAGTATTTTTTTCAATGATAAATATGTCCCTACACGCTACCTTATCTATATCCCAGCTTGCCCTCGGGATACAGTCTCACTTCCTCTGGAGATTACTCAGGAATCCAAGGCCGCAGAAGCGCTGCCTACTCAGCTGTTTAATCTCCTGCTATCAGAGCTGCATAAGGGTCATGATGGCAGGTGGTCATGTGATGACCCCTACACCTTTGTTACACGGTTCCGCCCCACTTTTCTTTCTTTCTTTCTTTTTTTAAAAGATTTATTTATTTATTCATATAGAGCTGGCGTACAGGCCAGAGATGCGGAGAGTGAGAGGATTCACCAGAGACAGAGTGGGGAGCAGAACAGGCAGATCAACGAAGTACACTGCTGAGGGGAGCAGCGGGCAGGTCAGGAGAGGTCTGCCACACCATGAGCTCCTCCGGGGCAGGCGGGGATCGAACTCATGCGGAAGTGGCTTAAGCTTCTTAGTGCAGTACTTTAACACGCCGAGCCACCAGGGAGGTCTCTCTGCCCTGTTTTTCTTACATTTCACACACTGGTTCCTCTGCCTTCTTCTCCCTACCCTCATCTGCCTGCCATTGTAAAACTCCAATGCTAGTCTTTAGGATGAACTTTGAGGATCAATCTCCATGTGAATCATTTTGTAACTCCGCCAAGAAATCTGAATGTTTCTCCAGCATGTTCCTGTTTTACTGTAACTCTTGCTAAAAAAAAAATGCTGAAATGTCCATTTATTGTTTTTTCTCTGCACTGACTATATCTTCACAAACACTTATACTAATGAAATTTAATAAGTAGTCTATGCTTATAAAGTGGAAATTCAATGAATAAAGTCAATGAATAGACATAAATTCACTGGAGGAATGAATTTAAATATATTGGTTAGATCTTGGATGCAGGAAGAAGTTATCTTGAAACCTTTGTGAATTGTTTATATTGTGGTTCAAGATAAAAACTGATCCTATCTATTTTGAAAGGCCATTGAAATAAAATTACAAATAGGAGCCCATCAAAAGAGAACAAGTAAGAGTTAACTAACAGAATCTGTTTTCAATTATTTTCTGAAGACAGAAAGCTGATGTTGAGGACATGTTGCTAAGTGAAGCAGGTGAATAAATCTTTGGTCTAGATATTACAGGAGCATTAGAGGATGTGCAAGACCCACTACTTTGAACTTCCTTTTACCTCCAGATAAGTTTATACAACTTCGGCTTGGATGCCCTATGAAAGAAAACTCACTATGTTTTGAAAGATTCAACTACACACAGCTCTTGTGAGCAGTTTATTTGTAAGTGATTCCCAAGTGTACATCTTCAGCACTAATTTGGATGTCCTCAGCTCTGAAACTCCATTTCTATTTTCATATAAGTGTCCCAGAGGTGCAACCTAAACCAGCACTTACTAAACTTCTCCTTCAATTTTTGTTTTTTCCTCCGACAGTTCCTTTTTCACCATCTGCTTATATCTATGGGGAAATTGTCACAGTCAGCTTCTTTTTTTTTAAGTTTTCTTTGAAATCTATTTGACTGAATAGGGTTAATGAGTGCTGGAGAGAAAAGGTTTTAAACTCAATATGCTTTCTATGTTTTTGACAATTATCTTTGAATTAACTTTGTAAAGTCAAAGTGACTGAGTTCACACTCTTACTAAAAAATTAATCAAGATGAATCCTCATTTTCTAAAAATAAGCACTAAACTTCAAAAAAGCTCAAGGTGATTTTAATAGTTAAAGAATAATAGGGAGGAACTTAGTTCTTATGCTTTTATTAAATACAAACAGTATGATCATAATGTTTATAATTTAACATTTCAAAACTAATCTTATAAGATGCCACAGATATTACATTTACAGAAAATGATTACAATAAAACTTCCTTTGACTGATAGAAAGGCCAGTAGGTTGCCTTAACCATTCCTACCAAAGTCATGCATTATATTCGATTTTGTCTTAATCTCATAATTTAGTGGAAATAAAAAAATAATAAATGTCAAGGTTAATTGAATAAGGAACAAAAAGAGTTCAGTAATAAAGGACAAGCAATTTTAAGGAAATTCAATACATTTACTTTCTACTTCAATAAATATTCATTTTAGCATTATTAAATTTATTCACAAATTAATTAAAACCCTTTTTTGGTTATAAGTATTATCATAAAAATTGAAAATTGTTTCCAAATTGAACAATGCATGTCAATTAATTTAAATGAGGAAAGCTTAGAATGTGTAACAAGGCATATTTATAATGGAACTCCTAAAAACTTTTTCCATATAACTATCTCTAAAGAATAACCAAAAGCTCAGACCTCTGAGAAGTATGAGACCTCCTGTTGCATGACTTTAATGACCTAGTTTTATTTAGCATGCTAATTAGGAAAAGGAAGAAAATTGAAATTTCCAAATAGCTTTGATTTGTGTAATAAATGGAAAGCCAGAAAACAAGACAAAGGGAGGCAGAATTTCACAGTCAAGTTTCAAGTGTGAAAGGACACAAAGTCAATTTGGATCTTGCAGAAAATTTCAAAAGCATATACCTGACTCAGCACCTAGGTCCTTGTCTTATAATAATTTTAACAGAATTTTTCTTCTTATTTCTTAAGTACATTTCTTTAGTATTTTGGCAGAAGGGGAAGAGGGAGGGAAGTCCTCTACAGATTCTTCCTTTTCACTATCTTACCCTGGAAATCTAAGGGTATTTACATGACAATAAAAGGAACTAGTTTTCATTTCCCTAACATTTTGAAAAGCTAGGAGGGAGGTAGCATTAATGAGAACCTTACTGAACACTCAGGGGTATATCACAAGGTGGCCAGAGCTTGAAAAGTGGAGCATACTCCCTCACAGGATCCTTATTCCCAGCCTCAGATGGAGAACAAGAACTGTGTGTGCAGCTCACAAGCATGCAACATTCTTAGGTCAAACATTCCAAATGTGCTGCTAATTCCTTCTATTTCATCCTTTGACATTTGAAAAATTTCTGTGCAAGCATTCAGGCTTGTAATCAAGCTGATTATTTCTCAACCTGAAGTCCTAAAGCATCAACCCCTAGTTTTATGATCAATATTATGGATTTAATGATTTTGCTAAATTGTTTAAGGCATATGCCTAATATATGCTTCAAGCCACCAGAAACAAGTTAGCCTTTTCTGTGACACATATCGCTGCATATTATAATTGCTTGTGTTTGGACCACTGAATTGAAAACTCTTCTGAAGGCAGGAGCCATGCTTTAATCATCTGTGTATCTTCCTACATCTAGCTAGTGCAGAACTTTGCCCTACTAAGAATTCAAGCATTTAATCAATCACTTAAGTGCTAGAAATATGTGTGTGGTAAAATACTGAGTGTTTCAGGATTGAAAAATACAAAAATTACAGAACAGAAATCAATACTCACTGTCTAGATGCTCAATTATATCATATTCCCTCAAGGTAATACTTTCAACAATTTTTTTCCATTATTCTCACAACCTACCCTTTCTATTTTTTTATTCTTCTAATTGTTCCATAGCTCTAACCTGTCCCCATGAATACCTCTTGATCCAGGATCTTTTAGCTCATGCTGCTCTGGATGGGCAGAAATTGGGCAACATTTCTGCAATAAATGTTAATTGTGTTATGACTATCAATGACCTCCATCACCTGCAAAATAAAAACCAGATTTAATAGCAGTTTGACTCTGCCCAAATTGTCCAGTTCCTCTCCTACTTTTAAATCACCCACACCAAAATAACTCCATCTTTACACATGTGGTTTCTTCTTGCTTGTCTGCATAGGGAATCTTTCCCTTCAAGATCCAGATTATTTGCCACCTCTTCTATTAGCACTCCTTTAATCCCTCATAGATGACAGACATAGAATAAACGTTTTTTTTTCCTCTTAAAGAAACTGGGTAGCATCCATTATGACTTTTACCACACTTGTTTCTATTTTCACCACTGTCTTTCCCACCAGGCTAACAGTTCCTTAGAAGTTATTATATCCTGCTGATGCTTTGTTCCCAGAGTCCACCATAATTTCTGGTAATAGTAGGCATACAGTGCAATTGGATGAATGGATGAGCAATATTCCATCACTTGATGTTTCCTAGAACCACTACAGCACTCAGAGAAAATATATTTGTATTATAGGAGCTAATAGAAAGAGCCAATAAGTCTGTATTTCTTTTAATGCCAAAATATAGGGGTTTTTTCATTATGAATTTTCATTATGTTATTTGTAATTAACATTAGGTAGATTGTTATTATTATACAATATAGATAAAAATATTCATCTTTCTTCTTCTTTGCTTATTTATCTCTGCCTCTAGCTCAAATGATATTTTTGAAAGGGTAGGAAAGGACAACTTCTCTCATTCTGTTTATAACTGCCTAATCATGCAAATAAGGTATGCAGATTGCCTAGAAAATAGTCCCACTCTCCCTTCTTGGAAAGGGAGGACAAAGCAAATCCAATAATAAATAATACAGAATAGATCTATCCATCTGACAAATATTCTTTTAGGAGTTGAATTTTTTTTTTTTATTTATTACAAAGCTTATTTTTACATCATTTTGCACATTTTTTTTTCCATCTCGATTGTAATCCCCACCGGTTTCCCATCACCAAATCACCCCTGTGCCACCACCATAGTCCCGTGCATTTCCCTCCCTCCCCCACACCCCCCGTTTTTGATCCCATTTCCCACTCCACCCCCACAGAATGTCTCTGGTATATGGTTGTTCATTATTTTTGTTATTTTCTCGCCTGGTCCATTATACTAGGAGTTGAATTTTTTATACATTAAATAGAAATAAGTCAACAAGTGCTAACAACCATTCTCTTCTGAGAACAGATTGCAATTCATAGGAAAGAAGTTGAAGAAATGGAACATGTTATTCATGAACTGGAAGAAGAAAATTTGATGCTTATCAATCAACTATTCAACTGTAGACTTGTGGATCTCAAAATACCCAGGTAAAAGTTAATAACATATCTGGGAAATATTTTTAAAACATTTGTACATGTAAAATTTTTTTTCACTTTGTTTTTGAGTTTATAACATTTAAAAAATATGATGTAATTTAATGTTCCAGCCTGATCACAATAGTTGAGGAGAAAAGAACTCACAAAATGACAGTGGTAAAGATACAAGATCATAACAATGAACCTGGCACAGCACAAACTTTGGCTTACTTTATCCATCAATGCACTGCAATCATAGTCGCAAGCACTCTTTTAATGTATACAAGAACTGGGGTGTAGGCCGAGAGGGGGACGGGGGGGGGGTGCAGGGATTCACCAGAGGGAGAGTAGAGGCCAGAACAGGCGGATATACTGAAATCACTGCTCTGGGGAGCAGCAGGCAAGACAGGCAAATTCTTCTGTTCCATGTGGTCAGTTCGCTGGCCTGGGATTGAACTCAGGGACACAGTGGCTGGTGACAGTTTGATTGTGCTGAGACTTTAACCCCTGCACTACCAAGGGGGCCACCATAGGAGCGAACACTTAATATGAATGTCACAAGCGCCAACCTTCTGAAGCTTCTAGACAAGGAGGAAAAACAGACATGAAAATAAATGTATAGCATTTATGTGTAGTGGAAGTTGTATGAGGTGCAGAGTTAGAATAAAAGAATTAGCACAATTTTGTGGTTGCTTCCTGAAAGTGTCATGGTCTTCAGGATAACTTGTGAACTATAGAATTATTTCCCTTGATAGTTCTTAAAAGAGTCAAACTATCTTCTAGTGCAAAAATAGCCTGATATTCCATGTCACATTTGCTCCTGCACAAAAGAAATCATGCATACATGGCTTTGATTTTAAGTTACCACTTTTTTTTTAACCTGACAAAAAGGTCTTAATATTCCAGTTCTTATAGAAAAAAAAAAAACTATGCCCTGAAACATGGAATTAAAACTCAAAGTGGCAGTCATAATTTGGACAAGCAGCTAGAAACAATAAGTAATCTAAGTAGCATATTTAGGAGCAGAAGGGAAAGGAATCACAAAAATGTAAGGTGTTTACACACGATGGGAAAGAAACGTCTGGGAGTAAGAATTAAAGCAAAGAAATTAAACATGATAGGAGAGCCGGGAAAAAACTATCCACCTAATTCCTTTTGTTTGTGTATCATGGAAAGAATACCATGATATTCATGGAAGAATACTATTTTTCTGTGTTTGTTTACTTACAAACTTCTTAATGTGTTTCAAGAAGGAGAACTACAGTAATTTGTGTGGTTTCTGTTTGATGTGCAAAGGGATGGATGTTATGATACAAAATTGGAGAAACTGGAAAATAGTGCAATTAATTATAGACTGAAAGCTGGTGGGGAGGCAAGGGTGTGTGGTACAAAGTAGAGAAAGAGGTCACCTAATACCTTGTCCCCTAAATTTATGGGGGCTGCTCTAGGAAAGTAAATACGATATAGATAATGTAGGCAGTCAGACTGAACCAACTGGTTGATTACAGAGCTCCTATATTTAGTCTTTTAAGCTGATGTCTTGAGGACCCCGGTGGGAGTGTCACTGTCGCCCAGGTAGGCAATACTCTCTTTTGCCTGTCCTCCCTTCTATGATCAGGTTTCCAGTTTCCCACTTCCGTCCCACCTATAATCCTTGCCATCTGCTACAGCCGCCACCTTCTTTGTTTCATGTTTAATCTCCACCAGCTGCTGCTGTGGCTTCTAACCACTGCTCTACCTGCTGTCCATTCTCTTCTCTTCCTTTTATTCTGAACCTGCCAAACCTTAGAAAGGAGCCACCCTCTACCCTGCCAACTCCACTTCCCGCTCAGTCAGCTCAATCCAATCTGGTGTCTATAATTTGGTGTTGATTTGGATGTGAAGTGCTAATTATTATAAAGAGTAATTCTTTAATCCATGAGAAAAAAAAGTTGGCAAGGACAGAAAGGGAGATGAGAAACATTTAATGGGGATTTTCATTATGTTGTCTGCTGTCTCTTATGCAACTTAAACATGCCCTCTGTCTTCCCACAAAAATCTTCAGTAAAATTCACATCATTCATCAATGCTTTGTGGTTAGTTTTCATTTGAGAGAAACATGAATGCTTAGTTCTGCTTCAGATTTGGGAGAGATGAAATAAAAATTTTTCCAAGGGAAAATGGCATGAGTGGTGTTTATAAATACTGGGTTAAGTGCCATTGAGGAGGCACAGAACACAGAGGGCAAATCAGGACAGTCTCCTCTACCACAGGGAGCTCCCAGATCAAGGAGTCGGGAGAACCAGTCCACACACCTGACCTACCAGAGGTTCCTGACTGGCTCTGCCTTGCTACCTGCCTCACAGGTGCTCCTGGGGATCTGATCAGCCTGGCCTGTTTGGTCCAGAAGCACAGGTTCTCACACAGGAAAAGGACAAGCGTCCAGGAAAATGACAAGGCCCGTGGGATGTTCATTGATCCATGTCCTGCAGCAGGGGAGGAAGAGTGATTGGAACTGGAGAGGGAGAAGGAGGGGAAGGAGTTGGCTGCAGGTGGATTGTTGGTGGGAGGGCCACAACCAAGGGGAACAAAAACTATAGAAAGACCTACTATATAGAAAATAAATAAATAAATTTATTATTATTTTAAAATAAAACCATAAAAGTAAAATAAATAAATACTGGGCTAGCTACCCCAGCATAAGCCTCCAGGATTCTCTGTAATTTCCCTTTGTGTCTGTCATGCTCCTGATGATTTATGTAATGTCTGCTTTCTGGCTAGGTTATAAATTTCTTGAGCAATTATTTAGGATATTATTTAAAAAGACATATAAAGAAATGGAGAAATGTGTAACAATTATGTGCTATACTTCATACCCAGAGGATGCCTTTGCTTTTGTTTTTGTTTAATATTTATTTATGCATACAAGAACGGGGGTACAGGCCAGAGGTGCGAGTGGTAAGTGGATTCACCAGAGATAGAGCAGGGAGATAGAACAGGCTGGTCTACTAAAATACACTGTTGGAGGGAGCAGCAGGCGAGATAGGAGAGGTCTGCCACACCATGTGGGTCAGCTCCCAGGCAGGAAATCGAACTCATGCTGCAGTGGCTGCAGACTGCTTCATAGTGCTGCACTTTAACCTGTTGCACACGAGGAGGGCCCCAGAGGATGACTTTGAGTGGACTCAGGAGCTTTCACTATACCTATTTTCAAGTTGGAGAAATACAGCATACATTACGTATTTTATAGTAACTGTCCTTTTTACCTCTTTGCTGAAACTTCTGGTAAGATGCTGAAAAATAGCCATTAACTCTTCCTAAGAGACATAGAAAAGTTCAGTTTCCCTATTCAAACCAAAAATAGGATATTCTGGCTAATAGAGTTACTATAGTCCCTGCCAGTGTTCCCCAAACTTTTATCTCATCACATAATACATATAGTCATTGTTTGGAACACTAGGTGAGATGAATGTTAAGTAGATGGGAGGCCAGGACCACAGGGCTTAGCTAAATGGATAAATGCCTATAAATCTAACACTACTTGATATAATAACATTTTTAAGACTATTTCTATATCATTAAATATCAAGTGATCAAGTGTTGCTGCCCTATCAGATATAAAAATGACAATGACTAAGAGAAAATTCAGATTTATGAAATTAGGGCATTTTAGGAAGCTGTTATTATTTAAAATGGTCAAACCAGGGAAGAAGAGAATTCTGTGAACTCAAATATTTCTATCTACAGCTGAGAGCTACATGTGAAACTAACCATTACTAAATTAAATCTTGAGAAGTGTTTTATAGATTTAAACATTGTGTATTGTTATTTATTAGAACTTTAACCACATTGGATAATACTTTATTCATGTTCTGTAAAATCAGCAGCCTGGCCTCCCTGGTGGCCTAGGGGTAAAGTCCCAGCACTACCAGCACAAAGGCCCAACCAAAGGCCTTCCGGGTCAGAGAGCTCACCCACATGGTGCAGCAGACCTCTCCTGTCTTGCCCGCTGCTTCCCTTAGCAGTGTATTTTAGTAGATCCGCCTGTTCTGCTCTGCACTCTGTCTCTAGTGAACACCCACTCCCACCTCTGGCCTACATTCCGATTCTTCTACGCAAGAATAAATGAAACCTTAAAAAAAATAAAATTGGCAGCATGTATTTGGGATTCACTCTGGCTGCTGAACTGCTGAGCATGAGAGGTTGTCTGCACATCTGCAGACAAACCACATGGAAATGCCATACTGCGCTTTCAGTGGGTGTCTGAAAAGCAGAGCACAGAATTAAACCCAGGTGCAGAGAACTGCAGTAGCAGGCACAAACTCCGGCTTGTGGCTGGAACATGGCACTCTCTGCAAACCAGGACCTACATGTCATCTCATGACTCCCACTGCTGTCTTTCCTTCTTTTCATCACATCCCATTCAGAGGACCGTGAGCCCTCTCCTGGGTCACCCCAGGTGACCAAACCAGCTACTCTCACTTCTGGGACTCTAAGTGTGCTGTTCTCTGATCTGGGAATAACTTTCTGTCATCCCACTGCAAACTGTCCCCGGTTCTTCCAGACTCAGCTCAGGTTTTTCTTCTCATGGAAACCGCCCCTTTGTCTCCTACAGTTAAATCAGGTGCTGTTTGTTTCTGCCCCATAACATCTTTCACACTGTGTGCTGATTAATCATTATGGTAAAACCATCACCCCCAAATTTTGGAAGCCTGTCTGCCACCATCTGCTGCTCAAGAGTAGGAACTATGTCTCTTTTTGTTTATATGCATCTCTGAGAAAAGTGGCAGAAAAACAGACATTGTTTAGCAGGTAAAAAATATTTGTGGCCTGACAATCTGCTTCTTATTTGTTCTTTTAGGAAACTATATCTTACCCAAGCTGCTGGACAGGAAGTGCCACCTCAAAAAATGCCTTTGCAGTCACCATATATAGGTATCACAACATATATAGGTATCACTTCATTATAATGGTGATAGTTTTTTGTTTGTTTGTTTTTTTCAATTTAACAAACATACTCCGAGCATCTGCTATGAACTGACATCACATCTTCATGAGCTACTTAGGACATAGATATGTGTCAGCCTCAATGTAAGTTTTTTTTTTTTTTTTCTTGCAGTGCTTGTCCTAACCTATCTGCTTCCTCTAGTCCTATTTTCAAATCAGTCACCTTTCTCACAATTTCTCCACTAGTAAATAGTAGAGAAAATTTCTCACCATTTCTCCACTAGTAAATAGATACTAGTGGAGAGAGACAGAAGTCATCTACTGTGTGGTAAGGGTTCCAGTTTAGCCAAACAAAATGCCAACACACCTGTAGGCTCCCAGATGATTACTGTGATTTATTAACTAACAGAAGGAAATATAGCTTAGAGTTTCTTCAGATGGGACACATTCTCATTTTAATACTACACATTAGATTCTACATTTCTGATTCTCAAACTCATTTCCTCCAGGAGATTAAGACAAGGTAAGCTATATGTTGTATTTTTATTTTTAGCTCTGAAATATGTACATACTTAATTTCTGTGCATATATTCTAGAACCTGTAGATGTAAAAAGTAGAGACATGAGGAGTTCATCGGCTGAGAGCACCATCCCACAATTTAGTATTGAGGAGCTCATCAGAGATGAACAACAAAGTGACGAAGACGAGGGCTCGTGTACAGACTTTGAGACTTCTAAGATGAAGTACCTATTGTATGAAGATGAGCATGATTTCAAGGTAAGAGTCATGAGAACACAACTTTGATTATTAAGAAAATGCTGTCTTAAAATGGAGAAAATTAACCTAAAATAAGGGTACTGAAAAATTCTATTTGCAGTTATTAGTAAAACTTGTCTATCATTCATCTCTCTCACTGGATAGTACTTCACTCCTAGTCTTGCCCAATTTGTTATATATATTCATTTATAGATATCAATTATTAGTAGATAATTTAAGTTATTTAATGCAACATAACAATTTACCTCCAATCTCAGTGGCTTATAACAATAATCATTTATCTTCTTTCAGGGTTTCTGTTGATTAGGAATTCAGGAGGGCTCCTCTAGAAAGTTCTCTCTTAGGCTCTTGGGCATTTTGACCCATTGTCCCTTCCTTTACTCCATCCCAAACTCAGAAGCCAGTATTTTTTTTTTTATAATATATTTATTTATTTATGCATACAGACCTAGGGCACGGGCCAGAGGTGCAGGGGTGGTGAGAGGATTCACCAGAGACAAAGTGGGGGAGCAGAACAGGCAGAATGAGGAAGTGCACTGCTGAGGGGAGCAGCAGACGGGTCAGGAGAGGGCTGCTGCACCATGTGGATAACCTCCAGGTGGGGGATCGAACTCTCACTGAAGCAGCTGTGGCTGGCTTGCAGTGGTGCATCTTAACCCGCTATGCTGCCAGGGAGGGCCCAGAGCCAGTAGTTTTTATCAGTATCTTGCTTTATTGCATTGTTTGTTATATCAATGTCCAATACTTGTCTTTGTTATTCTGACTACACATAATTCCCTTAAGCTACTTCCATTTTCTATAATGGTAACATTTCATCTTTCCTTATCGCTGAATGGTATTCCATTGTGTACATATACCACATCCTTTGAGACATCTTCTATCAGGGCACAGGTGGGTTGTTTGTCCTATCTATTGTAAATGATGCTGTAGTAAACATTGTGGAATATAAACTTTTTCGAGTTGATAGTTTCATGTTCTTTCGGTAGATGCCCAAGCGTGAAATTGTCATGTCATATGGTATATCCATTGTTATTTTTTAAAGGTAAATCCAGATTGCTTTCCAAAATGACTGTACTATACTCTGGTTTGCCTTCAGATCATATAAATCATTTGCCTTTTACCAAAATGGCTATTCCAGTTTACATTCCCACCAACAGTTTAAGATGACACCACTTTCTCTACATCCTTTCTAGCACTTGTTGGTGGTCTTTTTAATAAATGTCATTTTCTTTTTTTTAAAGATATATTTATTTGTGCATACAGAACTGGAGTACAGGCCAGAGGTGCAGGGGTGGTGAGAGAATTCACCAGAGACAGAGTGGAGAGCAGAACAGGCTGACTGACGAAGTACACTGCTGAGGGGAGCAGCGGGCGGGTCAGGAGAGGTCTGCCATGCCATGTGGTCACCTCCGGGGCAGGCAGGAATCGAACTCATGCGGAAGTGGCTTTAGCTTCTCAATGCAGTGCTTTAACTCGCTGCGCCAACAGGGAGGGCCCTATAAATTAGACTTTTATTTCTGTTTGTGGACATCTTTAGCTATAGGCAGCCTGGAAGAATGTGGAAACATTTTATATATAGGTAGATAGTTAAATAGATAGATGTGTGTGTGTGTGAGATCATATATATACATGAATTTTTCTCACTACCAGAATGTTTATATAGTCAAAGGAATGTCTCCAGCTCCTCCCCCTTGTTCTTGGGTGATGTAGAAAATTCTGCTGTAGTTATAACCTAGACAATGAAGGACTGTGCATATTTATCCAGCATTTATCTTTCACTAATTGAATTATACATCTCCCTAGTCTAACACATACACACCCCCAAATGAGCAAGCTTTCTTCTACCCTGCCTTTTGGGAGATCTTTCCTATATGTATGAGTAGGTATGTAGGTTACTGAGTAATTTTTTTCTTTACAGTAGCTCTCTTATTGCATTGTTATATAGTATACAGCCACTTCAGAGGGAAATGAAATCTGACAGGTAAATCTCAACTATAATTCAAAAAAGTTTTAAATAATCCACTGAGACTATTAACCTGCTAAATCAACTCTTCCATTCTCTTTTCTCTATTCACCACAGGATTATGTTAACCTTGGCCCATTGGCAATGAAGCTCATGAGTGTGGAGGGCAAGAAAATGCCCATTCATTTTCAAGAGAAGGAAAGTCCACTCAAATTCTATGAAGATGTCAGGAGCCCAGAGAGTTACCTTACATATAAAATAATGAAATCTTTTCTCTAGGATTGAAAGCTGTAAAGTACAACAACTTTTCCTTAAGTTTTCTTTGGAAATTGAAGTAGCCCATTTTATTTGTACTTTCATCCCTCTTTAAGCCAGTTGTTATTTCTAAAGGTCAGAAATACATCTAAAATCAAATTTCTAAGTATTCAGCTATTTATTTAAAATGCACAGCATGAATAACAAAATTGAAAATACACCTTATTTTCCCATATTCAAGTATACAGAAGCATAATGGTGGACTGAAGATGGTCTCAGAACTTCCTTCCCACTTAAAAAATTTTACTGATTCCTCCATAACTCCAATATGATCTAGTTTAATTAGAAATATTTCTAAGAAAATTTCAAAAGTTTGCAAGCCTATAGATCTTTCTCTCTGAGGATGTTTAGACATAGTCTACAGTTCAAGTCTTCTCTTCTTCAACCTAACACAATTTCTAATGAATACCAAATACTTTTGAAACAAATAAGTGTAATAGTGCTCATTGGTTACAGGAAAAATATTCCATCAACAAAGAGATCCTTATCCCATTGGCTATATAAAGTTTAAATGAGTCCCCAAATTACTAAAAAGGGATTTTCCATATGTCCCAGCAATTCCACTCCTAGAACACTACCAAAAGGACACAAAGACATTAACTCAAAAAGATACTTGCATTCTTATGTTCATTGCAGCACTATTTACGATAGCTAAAGTACGGAAATAGCCTAACTACCCAAAACCACAAAACCTTGTTTTGAAGGTGATGGTAGACACAGACATCACCTCCACCTCCTCCAAGAAACACAGGCATTCTAAGAAGCTTTAGATACACAAGAGGAGGTGCACGAGAGCATCCTGCATATGGACGACACTTGGATGATGGTAGACTCTGAATCTCAACCTGAGTTCTTCTCGGGGTCTCCTTTCACTTAAAAGAAGTCTATCCTCAAGAAGTGGAAGTCCTCTTCCTTAAAGATCTGTTCCCTTTGTGCCCGGACAAAACAATAGTGGAATGGGAGGGTGAGGATCAGCATTACATGAGAAAGAAAATTATGGAGGTCCTCCATGCAGGAAGTCAATCCCTTCCAGGAGCAAGGACTAACTGTCACACAAAAATGACTGTTATGTCAGAAAGGAAGTTATTCAAGCAGAGATTATCAAGTTTCTGAGACACCAAGATTATACTCTACCACCTCAAGACTATATACATTGAGATTATGGCCATTTGGGTTTTCATGGTGAACATTCCTCTTGACAATGTAGTGATCATAATGGCTATGGTGAGGGCTATAATAGAATTTATTCTAAATATCCAAACATAAGGTCTTGCAAAGATTCATATGAGGGTTATGATAGCTCCTGTGGTGTCCAACATCATAAGAGTCCCCACTGATTTATGGGGGAAGCAGTCCTAATGATTATACTTGTAAGCCATATGGATATGACTGAAGTTAGTAAAATTATTCTAGTGAAAATAACAGTTTCAAGTTGTTGCAAGCATGTTTGTAGACAAAAACAGGGTGTCTGCCTTGTAGAGTTAGCTACTCCTCATGATTCATATAGTGGTGCAGGTTATAAGACTTCTAGCAGAGGTTGGAGAGGAAGTGGATCCAAATTAATGGAACAGAAAGAAAATCCAGAAACAAGTGCACATATAGTCTCCATTGATTCCTGACAAAAATATCACTGTAATTCAATGTCTGTGTATGTGGAGGGAAAAGGGTCTTTTTAATAATAAGTGACTGACTCTGAGGCAACTGGATATTTGCACAGAAAAAAGCAAACCCTGATTCCTTCATCTTACGGTATACAAACAGCAATTCAAAGTAGATCAGAGACCTATATATGGAAAAAAAAAAATAAAGTTTCTCATAGAAAATAGAGATTATCTTCATCTCCTTGAGGTAGGTAAAATTTCCTAATCATACCATAAAAAATCACTAATCATAAAAAGATTGATTAATTGGATTTTATTAAAATCAAACTCTCTTAATTAGAATACACCATTAAGAGTTAAAAGAAATTATATACTAGAAGAATGTTGCTTCTGCATGCAAGTAACAAATCATATCCAAGATACATAACAAATCTCAACAAATTAGTAGGAAAAAATCATTTTTGAAGAACAGATAGACAGAAGAATAAAAACTAAGAATAAATATCCAGATGACTAATAGGAATAAAAAGGATATTAACATTATTATTCATAAGGGGAAAACAAATTAAAACCATAAGCTATCACTATATGCCCATGAGAACAGCTAAATTAAAATGTCAAAATAGTAAATATTGGCAAGTATATAGAGCAACTTAAACTCTTCTATAAATTATTGGTGGAGCATAAAATGATACAAATAATTTGGAATATTTTTGGTAGTACTAGGGTTGCACATATATATATATTCATATATATGTATATTCATATATACATTCATATGTTTTAATTCAACAGTTCCACTCTGAGCTTAATATGAAACAAAAATGAGTGCTTACATTCATCAGAGGACATGTATAAGAATGTGCCTAGAAGCTTCACTGATAATAGACAAAAAATTGAAACAACCCAAAAGAGTATCACAGTAGAATATGTATATAAAGTATGCTATGTTCACACAATGAAATACTATACAGGAATGAAAAATAATTACTACCACATAGCAATATAGATCTAGACAAAGTTGAGTGAAAAGAAGGTAGACACAAAAAAAGCACATATAGTATGATTCTAATTACACAAGCTTCAAAAGCAAACAAGCATACCAATCTATGATGTTAGAAATTAGAATGGTGATTAGAGTTGTGGGGATGACCAGGAAGACACCTGAAGGTTTCAGGTAATTTGATCTGAGTAGGAGTTAGCATAGATGGTCTATCTCATAAAATTCATGAAGCAAGACACTTAAAATTTGTGTGCTTTACTATTTTATGCTGCAAAGAGGTTTTCCAAGAATTGTTACCAAAATACCCATATTCCAAACCCATTTCATAAAGTGATAGTGTGTAAAGGCCATGATTATGTCTTACAGTATGAATAGCAGCAAGGATGCTTTGTTAGGACGGCCTTTCAAAGGTCAGCAGGAACAAAAATATTCTTGGAAATTGTAGAAACTTTATGGGGTTTCAGTTTTCTTTTTAAGAAAGACAAGCATAGATATCATTTATATTTTCTTTTCTAAGATAGGAAAAAAGCAGTTTATGGACTTTCCATTTAGACAAATCAAAAATTTTCAGTAACCAACACAGCTTCTGTGTGACAACTCACTATTTCAGTAGGCCAGCAGAAACTGACATTGTTTTTCTCTGCACTGGGAAAATTTACCAAGAGATTATTAAAACAAGCCAGGCATAACATGGTCGGATTCCAGCATTCATTTCTTAATTGTGGCAGTTTTTCCTTCACTACATGAATGTGAATCAGAAGAAAATATCAAATGACTAAAAGTCTTGTTGGCTGCCAAGAAGATGTCAGAGTCAAAGAGCCCTTCTTTGGAACAGGAAGGGGAAGAATGCTCTTTCCTTCTGTTAATATCACTTCTTGTGTTTATAATTTGCAGAACAGCAGTATTTCTAAAACAAATATGCAGTGTTTTCTTAAAGGCCCAAATCCTATGTAACTTTGTTACAAGACTACACCACAAAGCAAATCTCAATAAAGCTGTACCACTGTGAACTTCCTATCAGAGTGACATCTTCCACAAAAAATCTATCAAATGAGTCCTGGAGGCCAAGCCTGGCATACCAGGCTCCACGGAGGCAAAATTAAATTGTCCCCTTCCTGAGATACTGCTAGGTCATGGAGGCATCTCAGGGGTGGTGGACCTGCCTTTGTTTTCTTGAAATAACAGCAAGGAAGCATGGGAAGTGGGAGGAGACATAGTGGTCTTTACCTTGCAATATTTTATTTGTAGCATCTTTAGTAACTGGTTTGCAATTAAAGTCACAGTGAGTTTAGAATTTTATGTAGGTTTTGGCTCTCAGAATAACCAAGTATGTGAGTTTTACATATTGCTATTGAAGATTTTGGCAGGCAGTGGGGGTGGGTGGGTAAGGTTTAGGTGGCAGCAGCTTTAGTCTCAGGATGGGAAATTGCTAATTTTTGGCCCAGGAATTTGGTGTGAAGAATTTCAGAAGGTGTAACAAGACAGGGAACATTCTGTGGGGACCTAGATTCTTGGTCATCACTCACCTTTTTCAAGTCTGGTTTCCTCAACCATGGTCCAAAGACCTAATTCTTGTATTGCAGGGTTAGTTTAAGAACTATTAAAAGTGCATGTAACATGCACATGTATGCGGGGGTCCCCCATGTCCCTTGTTCTCAGGGATACTGTCTTGGTGCCCAGAGTCCCTGTTTGTCAGCAAGCTGTAGGGTCATATAGGGGCTTCTCACCAAGAATGAAAGAACCAGTGGCTGAAGCCAAAAAACTATTACAGGTGGTGCCTGTTGGAAGGGGTTGCTGGTGAGAATAGATAGTCCCAGGGGAAATGCTATAAAGGTAACATTTTGGGGGTGGGGCAATGGATAAGAAATAAAAGGTGGTCCTCCCTGGTGGCGCAGTGGGTTAAAGCACAGCACTAAGAGCTAAAGCCACTTCAGCATGAGTTCGATCCCGGCCCCAGAGGTGATCACATGGCGCGGCAGACCTCTCCTGACCCATCTACTACTCTGGTCAGCAGGGTACTTCATTGATCTGCCTGTCCTGTTCCCCACTCTGTCTCTGGTAAATCCTCTCACCACCCCTGCACCTCTGGCCTGTACCCCAGTTCTGTATGCATAAATAGATAAATCTTTAAAGAAATACAAGGTACTGCAGAAGGGGACACAAAGTCATTCAGTCTTTGGGATTCAAATCTTTTGAAACTTCAGCATTAGGAGTGAACAAATTCTGGTCTCCACCATTCTGATCTTCCAAAAGGCTGTTGCAGACCTCTGAAGGACAAAGAGAAGCCTCCAGCAGCCAAACTCAGACAGGAAAAATTCAGAGGCTTTGCACTTAGCAGAGAGACTGAAACTGCTCTTGGT